GATGAAATCATCGTAAAAGGCGCAAATCTTTTTTTTACCAACATGTCTTGATTTTCTATAGCTCGAACAACTTCTTTTTTTTACATTGAGGATCGTTGACAAGTTTTCATTATGGCGTGTTTTTTTTTGGTAGATCATTAATTGTTCAATATTGTCTAACCCTCTATTTTTTTTATAAAAAGCATATAGTAAAGCGAGGCGCAAATGATTTATTTTTTTTGACGGTAAATGATCTGAAATGATATCGGTAGTGTCAATTTTTTTTTTATTTACAAAGACCATAGTCTTTGGTTAAAGTTGTTCATTTTTTTTTTCTTCTCGCAAAGATGGTTGGTTGGTTATTTGTAGTTTTTTTTTTTGTCTGCTGTTTCATAGTTGTTTCGGTTTCAGCAGACGTTTTTTTTGCAAAAGGTAAATTATTCTAAACTTTGCACTTACATATTTTTTTTTATGAATTTTTTGTTAAAATGAGTTCAGTCACACGTTGTTTTTTTTTTTGTCCTGTTGAATGTTTATAGCTAAATTTCGATAGTGTTTTTTTTTACTTAAGTGAATTTTCAGGATGTCATATTGGTGTATTTTTTTTTTAAGCAATCGAAAAACACTTATTGATTTGGTTCGTCCATTGAATTTCACTATATCGTCCTTATTGGTCAACGCAGGATTTACMTTTTTTTTTTGTATACAAAAGAACATCTGTTAGAGAGGGTTATTAAGCTTTTTTTTTCACCAATACTATATACAGGCGGAATAGATTGGACATATTTTTTTTTTTCTCTTAGTATTAAAAACATTGCAAACTTATATGTGTTTTTTTTGTGCAATAGACAGGTGATCACCTTATGCAATTTTCACAGAAAAATCAACCGAACTTTTTTTTATACTAATTTTGAATGCACAACTTTTTTTTAACATTTTTTTAAACTCATTTATTTATATCATTCGTCTTTTTTTTTTCTTTTACATATTTTGTTAATTTAATTGCTTGTTTTGTTTTTTTTTTATTAGATATGAATCGCTTTCTAGAAAAAAAAACTAGTTTTTTTTTAGTCCCTGGTATTATCGTCAATCATAAATCATTTTATTTTTTTTTTTCTTATTCCCGTGTTTGTCATTCTTATTGACCAACACTTTTTTTTTTAACTTCATTTATTTATATGTAAGCGATTGATCGATGCTTTTTTTTCTATTCATAAATTTTTAATTATATTTAAAGTATTTGGTTTTTTTTTTTACCATCGCATATGAGTCAAGATTTGATCAATGAATTTTTTTTTTTTCGCTCTTAATCGTGTTTTATCATCTAACCATCCATCTTTTTTTTTGTCGAGTTTCAGTTGATTCAATTACCCTCCCATCCAATTTTTTTTTCATCCATTCTTTTGATCATTAATCCGCTCAACTTTTTTTTTTTTTCACCAGCAATTATACGATATGCTTAGTATTGGAATGATTGATGTCTCAGTCGTTTGACTGCATATTATCTCGTTATTTGCTTCTTTTTTTTTTCGTACCTAAACAGTCAGTGTATTGACATCTTCTATTTTTTTTTTTGGTACTGAAACAGTTTACGTACTCAATCCGAAAACGCATTTTTTTTAGCTGAAAAAAGCAAGATAAAAAAACGTTTTTCCACCTTTTTTTTTCTTTAGAAAAGGGAAAAAGATTCATCTATCCATTGCTATTTTTTTTTAATTTGGTTATTGGTGATCGATCTGTTGACTTACCAGTTTTTTTTATGAAACATGAGCAAATCTAAACTTTTTTTTTATCAATTTTTTTTTGTGGCGCCTAGAACACGCTCTAATAAGATGATGACATCTTTTTTTTAGTCGTTATGTAGAATCCACGTCCACCTGTCAATTTATTTTTTTTTACGAAAATCACATTGACATGTTTCTCATCCATTTTTCTGCATTATATTTTTTGAACCTTTTCACCTCAAATAGATAATTCAAGGTTTTTTTTTTTAGTTGCCTTGACCCCTTATAGTTGTTCCCTACGGATTTTTTTTTTTTGCCCTTTTATAAAGGAAATGGAGACGTGTCAAGTTTTTTTTTAGTTGCAAAACACTAGTATGCGTTTAGATCAGCTGCCATTTTTTTTTGCATTGTTAGTTTATTAAATAAAACCATTTTTCTAAGTTTTTTTTTTTAATTTCAGTTTTGTCGTTGCTTGCAAAAACACAATTAAATATGTCCGGCTTCGACAGTAATATTGATCAGCTGCATGGGGGTTTTTTTTACTTTCATTATGTTGAAATTACACGGTACTGTATTTCACAAGAAAAAAACAACGCATTGGTCTACTTTGTCATTTTAGTTCTAATTTTTTTTTTAAAAATGGCTTTCATATTATTGAAACTTTTGAGAGGTTTTTTTTGATTGAGTTTGCAGTAAAGTTTTTTTTTCTGGTTTTAATTTTTTTTCTTTTTCTCTACCATGCAACGGATAATAAATCAAAATATTTTTTTTCGTTGGGAATATATCATGCTTAAACTGACTACTGTGATTTTTTTTTCGTGTAATCTACATCAGTTACCCGTCATGCTGTGTCGGTTTTTTTTACGATATAATATCATGTWATATCCCTAAMATTGATTTCTTTTTTTTCGGTGATTTCGGTTACTTATTTTGACAATCGTTTGAAGTTTTTTTTGAGATTATTCAAACATAAAACAAAAATATGCACAAGGCTTTTTTTTTCGCATGGATTTGGGTAAAGTCATAAGTAATTACTTATAAAGTTTTCATAAAGAACGAAAAGGATGAGACCATGAATAAACTCATTTTTTTTGCTATACCGTGTATTCTGTGAACGGATGGTTGTCGCACACGAATCGACAAGTTTATCATTATTTACGTCAACGTTTAAATGCTGTTTTTTTTTACCTCTATCTTGTCTGACAGCTATCTTATCATTTTATTTTTTTTTTTTACCCTCCAGCGTCTAATATTCAAAATCTAATCTTGTTTTTTTTATCTTACTATTGCTCCGGATTTTCTCTCTTATTCCACCTTTTTGTTGATTTTTATTTCGATTTCAATCTTATGTTGGTCATTTTTTTTTTTTTGACCAGCATCCTGAAGTCTTGAAGTAAATCTTGCATGTTTTTTTTTTAACAAAAATTGTAATCGACTTGACTTTTTGGCATTTTTTTTTTTGTTTTTAATTTGCAATAAAAAAGTAAATACTGCTTTGTTTTTTTTTTTCCGAAAGCATTCCTATTTAATGCAACTGCAAAGGTTTTTTTTTTAATTGGCTCGTATATCATCCGTGCACTCGTGGCGGGGGTTTTTTTTGGGGGATGCTATAGTATCTATAAAGGAAGAGGCGTCGCTGGACAAGTCTTGGTTCATGTATTCACAATTAGCATAAACCAAACAAGGACAGAAACAGTGATTGTTGGCACAGGATCTGATGAAGCATCGATAAACCAGGCCGGTCAGCCAGCTAATAGTAAAACAAAGTCCCGGATTTTTTTTTTGACAGCAGAAGGGGGAGCCACGTGTAAAGTCAGAGAATTTTTTTTAAAAACTTTTGAATCCTTTTTTATCAGCAGAATTTCATATGGTAAGTACAACATTCTTGTCTATGTAAGTGGACACTACTTTAATTTTTTTTAGTAAACTTGATGTCAAATATGGGATGTTAAATATTATTTTTTTTTTACAAGAACGTAGTTGCATCAAGTAGAGCGGATTTCGTTTTTTTTTGACACCGTTACCGCACGGTTACCGCACAGTTACCGCACTTTTTTTTCAGAATTTTGGTGAAACAATGGGGCACTAGAATTTGGTTTTTTTTTGATTACGGTCACAGTACAGTACCGTCCGTTTCCCACTCTTTTTTTTTCCGCTCTATTTGACTTATTTTAACAAGAGTTTGATGTTTTTTTTTGGGTCTCCTGGTAACGATTCTACTGTTCGAGGTGGACAAGGCGGCATTCTTATCAACAGTACTGGACCAACTGCCCAAAGAGGTGCAAAGGTGTACTCATCAGAGGGTGGGGTGGGGTATGGTGCTGGTGGAGGCTCAGGTGGAATGATTAAAAAAGGTGATGGAGAAACTGAAATGAGTACTGGTGGTAAGGGTGCTCCAGGAGTTGTTTACATCGAAGTCTTTTTTTTAAGTTAGTATAATCATTGTTTTATTGAACTTTATTAGCTTTTTTTTTGTAACGGTGTAATTTGACTCCATAGTTCTCATTTTCTTTTTTTTTGTCAGGAACAAGTACGAGTAATGTTTGCATTGGATGCTTCAGCAAACCTTTTTTACCAAAGGCAAAACGTTTACTGTCTACTTATTTTTTTTTTTGCACTATCAAAAGGCTTGGTCAAGGTTTCACTCATGGGATACAGGAATACGTCATCTATTGTAACGATTGACCAGAAGAACTTTTTTTTTCTGCGTGCTAAGACGGTACAATCACTGAAACGAATAGTTTTTTTTCCTTCMAAGGTTAACTTTGAAAATCTGTTARCTTCGGCTTTTTTTTAGTTTCGTGAGAAAAACAGCCACAACGACAAGTACACCAAAACTCTGGTTATTTTTACAAACGAAACTAAAGTTGATTTGACTGTTTTTTTTAATACTTCAAAAGAGACACTAAGAAGRATGGGTGTCAATTTTTTTTTCATTGGACTGGCAAAGACTGATTCACCGTCACGTRAGTTTTTTTTGCAACAACTGACGTTTAAAGAGGGCTATGTATTTGTTGTTTTTTTTGTTAATGGYTTGGTCAGTGGAACTATGATGAGTGCAATTTTTTTTTTTATTTGTAGAGGTAACTGTTGCCCTATATGTGAATGATTTTTTTTAGACATACCTTCTTGATATAAACCAATGACATCGCACGTTTTTTTTCTGATAAATTCTTAAAGAACTCTAAGACAGTTCATCGTTTTTTTTTTTTAAAGAAAAATCTTACTAGTGAATCGGTGGTATTTGTTTTTTTTGAAGGAAGGACATTAACATGGTTTCATATTTTTAGCATTTTTTTTTTATCCAAGTGTTCCGACAACAACGTCGTCTCCTCCAACTTTTTTTTAGAATCCTTCCGAGCAACTCCAAAAAGGTAAGATATTATTTTATTCAAAAACATGAGAAATTGGTGCCGTAGTTGTCTCTCTAATTTTTTTTGTCTCCTTACTTACCTATGAAGATGCTGGTCAAGTGTTTTTTTTTTTAATCAATGTATTACCTTTTTTCGATTATTTTTTATTCATATTTTACAGACTATGATTACATATTAAACTACAATATAACGGAATTTTTTTTAAACGATTCTAGTACAGTCAAGGTAGGATCGCTGTGCATTTTTTTTCCGTTAATTAAATGTTTTAATTGCTTTTTTTAACTCTTTTTTTTTTTCTATAGCATGTGATGTCCATCGCTGGCAATCTGATTCTTTTTTTTGATAGGTTACCAAACGCTACAGAGGTAACGGAAACATGTTTTTTTTTGTTAGTCATACGTTATGGGATTCCTGTGCATAGGAATTTTTTTTTCATTAAATTCTTGAACACTTACTTAAACGAGCGCTAATTTTTTTTTATTTGTATTAGGATGCTCCAGGGTTAAAAGTTCTTCAGTTTTTTTTAGATTATGGACTCAATATGGCCACAAAACTTGTCATCGTTTTTTTTAAAAACAGATCGTACAAATACTTTGAACACCAAGAAATTTTTTTTTAGTGTTGGACCATTGCAATACGGTATATGAGTTGTGATTTAATGTTCTCTTTATTCTAATCTTTTAGGTTTGCTGATTGGTTCTTTTTTTTTCTCATCTGCAAAACAGCTAACTCTTCCTCAATTTTCTGTTTTTTTTAATGCAGGTCATGTGACGTTACCAAAAGAAGCCTTTGGTTTTTTTTGTGAGTTAATAGTGCTATCTTTGGTTTCTCTTAAATGCCTTTGTTATGGAAATGTATGTAATTCAAATGAGCCATATGTACTTGTTTTTTTTATCGAGGAAGTGTTGTATGGGTGACAGTAGACCCTGTCATGTCAATGAAGCAGGACAAGTGAGTAATTTTTTTCTTCTTCTCCATTTTTTTTTCTCTCACTTATTTTTTCTTCCTTATCTTTGCTTTTCCTTTTTTTTCTTGGATTATTTCATCTCCCAGTTTTTCTCATTCTTAACTTTTGTACCTATGCATGGCTATTGAATTTATGATAAATTGTTCTATTTTTTTTTAGCAATTCAGTGATCAGAAGTAAAATTATGATGTTGATTTTTTTTCCAAAAGCTAATCATACTTTTGAAAGACCGGTGGAGCTTTTTTTTTCAATCAACAAGGTATACTCTTATGTCAACAAAAACTGTCAATTCATTATTCGTCTGTCACGTAAAGGGCCGTTTACACTTGCGATTTTTTTTGCGCGATCATTGCCAATTTGCTGTCGCGCAACTCAAATTTTTTTTTAATAGCACTGCGATTGTTGCCACGATGGAAAATCGCCGTTTTTTTTCAGTCAATTTTAAAGCATGTTCTAAACTCAGGAGATTGTTTTTTTTCGATCGCCGCGAGAATCACTCTGCAAAAATCGCAAGTGTTTTTTTTCCTTAACAGAGAATACCACCCAAGTTTTTCTGATATTTTTTTTTTTTTTACTTGATGTGATTTGATCTAAGGTGAACCTAGACCTTTTTTTTCAAAACAGTTGTGAATTCTGGGACAGCAGCAAACGGTAATTATCTTTACTGCTTTAAGATCTCTCTGCTTTAAGATCTCTCTGATTTTTTTTATGTATTTGGTTTTATCAGATCAAGTTCGTCTTCGCATTTTTTTTTGTCTAGCGAAGGCTGCAAGGTTACTAGTGAAAACAAGATTTTTTTTGCCTGTCAATGTAACCATCTTACTAGTTTTGCTGTCTTAACGAGGATTGTCACCAGAAAGGTTTGTATAAAACTATTATTGTCATTTTTTTTTCTACTTTGATCTAAACATCTATTTATCAGGAATCTCCTTTTTTTTATGAGAAGTACCTCAGCATTATCACGTACGTTGGTTGTGCATTATCCATGCTGGGCTGTGTTCTTACCATAGCAATACATGCTTTTTTTTTTTAAGTTATTCACCTTTGTTATTCTTGTTTGTGTTGATATTTTTTTTCTATTTCAGAAGTCCTTACATCCTCTGCTCATTCACACTTTTTTTTTCCTTGTTTCTCTTTCAGGAGCCTTCGTACTGAACGAACATTTATTCATCTCAACCTCGTGACAGCCATCTTTATAGCTCAATGTTTTTTTTTCATTGCTGTTTCCGTGCAAGGACCAAAGGTAATAACTTTTTTTTTCAATTCGCTGCTATATTAACTGATTAATGCCACGACATTTTTTTTTCTTCTGCAGGGATTGTGCTTTGCCGTGGCTATTAGTTTTTTTTTTTTCTATTTGTGYGTTTTTACTTGGATGTTGGTGGAAGGTTTTTTTTTCTACTGCCTTGTCATAAGAGTATTTCACTCTGGACATGAACGGAAACGGCTCTACGCTATCATAGGCTGGGGTAAGAAGACATGTTTTTTTTTTAAGATCATTCATTAATCTCAACAACATTATCACTCATTTTTTTTAGTGATTAAAATCTGTCACATCATTGTGATTTTTAATGTTTTTTTTATCATCATGACAATCATTGTTTTCGTGATTAAATCATTTTTTTTTTATGTATGTCGTCATTATCATCACGACTTCATCTTGCTATTTTTTTTGTAATGTCGTATGGTTATCTGTGTTATGTCCACAGTTTTTTTTTTTATTATTACCATCATCTCAGCTGCGTCATTCCGAGAAGATTTTTTTTCTCACAACATGTAAGTACTGAAGTGCAATATTGCCCTTTTTTTTTTTTGTTGACTACAGTAATTAATAAAACTGATTATTCACATTTTTTTTTTGTCTACTGAAACCGGTGCAATATGGGCATTTGTTGGTTTTTTTTTGGTGATTATAGCGGTACGCTCATAGTTTTGACATTAATTTTTTTTAATATTGAATTACTGGGTTACAAAT